TCTGATCTCTGTCTTTGCACACTGACTGGAGCAGCCACCAATCACAGCGCCCCCCTACCCCCCCACCCACCCGTTCACTCTTTTTTTCCCTCTTCTCTTTCCATCCTTCATTGTCTTCCATGTGCCATCTCTCTGAGGTCTGCCGCCTTCAGATACCTTATCTTCTCCTCATCTGCTCCAGGAGTACAGCAAAGCCAGCGTCCCACGGGGGCTTTTTAGATTGTTTGCAGAGGAGAATGGAGTAAAAAGAGAGAGCGGGGGGGGAAGGGAGGGGTAGAATGAGATTTACAGAAAAGACGGAGACGTCACAGGCAACAAAAGACGTGTTAATGAGATCATTCATGTCTTACACAGGAGCAGAAAGTAGACATGAGTGATAATGATGACGGGGGGGGGGGGGCTACTAGATTATCACTGACTGGTGCATTATGGTCCAACTTGTTATTTACAGGCAGAGCTGACAGTGTCTTTTAAAGGTAGCATCGTTAGCCTTTGTGCTAGCTGTCCTTACCTAACCCGACTCTTGCGGAGGATAAACAGCGTAGCTCCTCAGCGTGTGGCCGATTTACTCTGTCATCCTCACACACTTTGCAGCATCTTTCACTTCCCTGACATCTGGGGTGAAAAAAGTGTTGCCAGGAGCAACGACAAGAGGTGGAGGATGGTGGGAGGCTAGTGTCGTAGTGACGCTCGGATGAGTCTCTGTGGTGCTGTATTTGGTGGAACCAAAATAAAACTTGTCTATATTTATAATCTTTATTGCAGCAGAGCGTCTCCAGTGGAAAAAAAAAATCACTATGAGCCCATTGATGCTCGTTGCTACTAAAGAAAACCCAATGTTGTGAAGAGGTGGGGAGAAATTAGGGGCAGCCAAACAGCTGATCAGCTTTTATCAGTGATAAAAGTCTTGTTACGGTGCATCCTTAGTTCCAAATGATAGAATTATTAGTCATTTAAGAGAAAAATGTTTCTTCAGTTTACTTTTTAGATTAACAAAAGGATTTTTCCCCACAGTGTGTCTAAATAACAGTTTATCTATTGACTGTGTAGAAGAGCAACGATGAGTGGATGGATGTTGGAATTATTGTCAATGGCATTGAATGGACATTTGATCTGAAAAGTTCATTCTCAGCATTAATGCCCTGGTAGAATTCCTGTGACAGCTTTTTTTTTTCTCCTCTGCAGAACGTCTACTGAGAACCAAGCACAAAGTTGTTGTAGTGAAATCTGCATCACCACAAATTTACCCCAGTGGAGCAGGTCATGATAAATGACTCACCGGTTTATACGGACATGGCTTTATATATTAATGTATTTAAAAAGAAGTTGTTTTGAAACATCAGTATTTGGAATGTGACCTTTGACCTGCCACCGTGAACCACACCAGCTGTTAATGGCTACAGAATTCTGCAATCATTTCTAATAGTTTAGCCAGTGATTTCAGACCATGATGGATGATGGTTCACACACACATTTTCTACCAACTAAATCCCAGGTGACACCCAGAGGGCGCTCTCTGTAAGGATGCTGCTGTATGGGCCGGACAGCTGTCTCCTTCAGTGGCCAACAGAGGCCAGACGTGCCATATGGTCCACTGCTTTAAGCCCAGAGTCAACACAGTATTAATTCTCCTCAGTCACAGATTAACTGCCGTCACTAAAACCCATGACAACTGTGTCACTTTCTTTCGGTTTCCTCAGACCAAGCCGTTTGTTCACTGTCCAATAATAGTCATTGGTTAATAATCTACGAGGTTACTGAATACAGAGCTGTGTTATACCGCAGAGCTGTACACCTCCACTGATCAGTGACGCGACGATGAAAACTTCCCCAACTCTGAGTCTGTTTTAGTAGCTCTGCAGCAATGGTAAAGTAGACTTCCATGACATGACAATAAGTGAGGAACTTGTCCCTGCAGTCCACATACTGTAAGTCATATATGTCACTCAACTCAAGGCCCGTGGGCCAAATGTGACCCACTAAGTCATTTTGTTTGGCCTTTGGGAGCTTTCAAAATGATGAGCTGATAAATTAATTTTTTTATCACATAAAACAATGTACAATACTTGTTATCATAATTATAATAATTATTATTATCTGCTACAAACATACACTGACTCACTGATGTCAGTGGATGTGCAGGCAAAATGCCTTAAATGTTTCTAGCACATAAAAAAAACCCACAAACCCGTAGTTGAAGGACGGTCTCCTGACGACAAGAAAAAAACCCATCAAAGATAAAGAGCTGGTGAAATTACCCCGAGTATCTGTTAATGTTGGTTAAATTATCTGTTCATTTTTGTCCCTTCTTTGAATGAGATTTGTCTGTAGTTTCTATTTGATGTAGAAGGTTTTAGCAACATCCCAGATTAACATCTCAACTTCTTTCAGTAAATGACACTTTTATTGGTGTAAAATATACGTCTTTCTAAAAGTATACCTTTTTTTTAGGATTCTACTCAGTTCACGTCCCCGTGTCTTAAAAACTTTGAACCCGATCAGACCCCCCCCCCCCCCCCCCCCACCTGTAGCATCTACGGTGCAGCTGTGAAGGGCTGTAAAAACAGTTTTTTTAGAGTTTTCCTACTTACAAAATGATTTGCGGCGTGCATCCTACGTCAGAGTCGGATCGCAGAGGGAGCTGTGTGGAGAGTGCAGATGGTACAGTATTTCACCTCCGTTGGACCAGAAATTCAATAAGAAATTCTGGAAGAGTTCAGCTCTGAACGCACGCCCACCATCAGTGTGATCCTCCACAGTGGACGCCATAACCGAGCAGCATTTGTGGTTTATTGCAAAGTGTGAATGTTTCTACTCCCTACAGGGAGCTGTAGCCTCGGCAAAGGTTTTTGGCAGAAAGAAAACAATTAGATGGACAGATGGACCGACGGAGAGGATCGTGAAGAAGGTCAGAGATTATCAACCCTGGGAATGGATGGATGGATGCATGGATGGATGGATGAATGGTTGGATGGATGGGTGGATCAGGCAGAAGGATCTGTGGGTGTGGACCACAGGACTCTACACTAACATCTCATCTGGAGTCATCTGGAGGTCTGAAGGTGGGGTTGATCTGCTGTCTCCATGTTCACACTGGGGAGGCTCCATTACTCACAGCTGATAGAACCCCAGTCACCTCTCACCCTCTCTGTGGACGCTCTCTCCTGCTCACACATCTGTGCATTACCCAGGACAACCAGCAGGGCGTGGTGGGCTCAAGTGACCGTTTTTTTTTGGACTTTGAACTTTGTTTGCCTGGGTCTCACACTGGTCGACAGGACAACTCTGTTAATCCCTGACCTGGAAAACAAACTAAAGGTCATGACCTCATCATATTTGTGAAGCTGAAATGTATTTGTGGATTCTAAAAAGATGAAATCGGTTTTGTCAGATTTAATGGTTTGCACCTGTTGCCGACAGTCACCGTAACCAGCACGTCTGTGTGCTCGAGCCGTGTGTGAAGACGTGAATCTCACCCTCCACTGACAACTGACAACTGACAACTGACAACTGACAACTGACAACTGACAACTTCCTCTCAAAACAGAGCGTGTGCACAAAATGATTGGCTGCGAACCTGGAAGAACACGTGCTGATACAGAACCATCCTTTGGAGTCACTGGCTGGTTCATCAGCGTGTCCACAGAAACCGATATGGTTTTTGTTTTTTTGCCAACTCTTTCCACATTTTAGCAGCTAGCATGCCTGCCTTGCAAGCCTTTCCACATTTTAGCAGCTAGCATGCCTAACGGCGCCTCCTCTGGCAGCCTGTGTCAGTTGCATAGACACTTAGCCATGGTGTGACGAGTAAGGAACTCAATGATTATAATTCTTGTTTAATCAACAGGTGGCTGCTGTAACTGGTGCTGTACCTGTTAGCTAGGACTTTGGACCAGAATAACTTTTGACCTAACATGACGACTTCTTTGATTCAGTAAAAACACTTTTCTCACTAAAGTGTGTCAGAGGTGAGTGATAGGGAGACAGAGGAGGCAGGAGGAGGTGTCTCAGGTCCGTCGTCATGACGGCGGTGGATGAGCACACACCAGGTGGGCGACACGCCGAGAGAGTACTGAGGGAGAGGGAAACCAAATGTGACTTTTAATACAGAACACATGTAAGAAGGAGGTCAAGGACAGAGGGGAACTCTACAACGACATCATCCCAACATATTTGGCAAGAGTGTGAAAAAAAAAGCAGCTTTTTCCACTCTCCCACTTTTGAGCCTGTGGCCTCAAGTGGATCAGATCCCAGAGCACTTTTTCCTCTCCATGTAAACACTTCCATGTGTGAGTGGAGCATGTTAAGGAGTGGACCTTGTAAGCAACCACAATTCTCCAAAGTGTGGATGTTCAACAAATCATCTGTGTCCATCTATGATCCAAGTCTTTATCACTGCAAAATTGTACACAAGGGTGTGGGTAGTTTATAAGTGGGCCGATAGAGAAATGTGGGCTGCGTGGAAGGGGGCGACTGCTGAAATGAAATGTGTCTTGTCATCAAAAGTCAAATATCTGAGGTTTGGCCATGGACCAGAGTTCAGGGTGGGGAGGGTTACTGTGGCGTGAATCTGTGACCCACTCTGAGTGTGGGCTGGTCAGAGCTCAGAGGCTACAAGCTTTGTTTCATCAAAGACTTTCATTCTTTGGACACGGTGTGTTGTTATGACAGTGGACACTTATACTTTGATGTACTGTATCGTGTAGTACTGTTATCCTGGGTTGGGCTGTACTGGGTTGACACAGCTGGGTGTGGAAACATATATGTAGGATGCGGTCCGCCTGTTCCTGAAAGAAAGGCGAGTGAAGCTGAAGGTGGAGGTCATGACGGATGTCAGATGATGGTTAATTAAAATGGACTAGTGTGCCATAAGATATTATCATAGATACAGTATCTCATTTCATTGTATTTGTCTGAAAACTATCATTTATTTACTGCAAAAAATCTGTCTTTGATCATCTAAGAGAGGCTGACTGACAGAATCATTTCTCTTCCACTAGGGGGCAGTGGATGGCTAAAAGAAGAGAGGAACTCAGAGCTGTTGAAGAAGATCCTCATGTCTGACTTTCTTCAATTCCTGTGAGTATTTCAGTGTTGTTTAACTAAACAGCCCCAGTCAATTGTGAGTACAGTAGAAGTAGAAGATACTTTGTTTCAGTTCAATTTATAACCACATATATCTAACGCCAAATGTTTTAGGAGTAGTGAGTGCAGCAGGAACTGACACGTTTTTCCATGTAAAAATTTGTCATGGCCAAAAATGTCTGGGGGACATAGAGAGAGACCGTAAAACTTAACAATAAAATGAAGCTCATACATGTCGGAGCCAGGGTGTTGACGTGTATGCCTGACAACCATCTCTATCATTGGAGCTCGTGGCCAGTGACAAGAACAGAGAAGAAAACTAGCCGTCAAACTAGCATGGTGAATTATGTCATTGGAGCTTCAGGGTACATTTCTATGAGTAATACTAATTATTATTAAACATTTGTTCATTATGACATTCCATGTCATAGTTTGTGTCATACTGTACACAGTAAGGAGGTGAGGCTATGCTAAAGGCTAGAGGCTAGCTACGGTCAAAATGATTCCTGCACTCTTTCTTGTGAAGATACCAAAACTGTAGGAGACCAAATCTTGTGTGGGCGCATTTTCTGCACAGCGTCATTTATCATTAGTAAACATAAAAAGGGGAAATTTCACTGCTGACTCCAGCAACTCGGCCGAAATGACTGGCTCTGACTGGTTGGTCCACGGAAGAGTTGGCAAAAACTTCACACTCATGCAGTTTATTACAGATAATGAGTGTTGCATGTAGCTATACATGAAAGAAATGTTGGTTTTAATTCCAGTATTAACATTGTGCCAACAGTGAGACTCAAAGAAATGCTAAAAGAATGCTAATGCTAGTTGTGGTGCTCTTCTATCTTCTGTTCACTCTCATTATTATTTAACAGAGTCATGTCTTGTGACGTGTGTTAGTTGTTAAGACACCGTTTGCTGTGACACACGTGTATTTGGTCACATGACCCTGAGGCGCTGTTTACACGGCTGTGAATGATACGACTACAGACCCAGTTGAATAGGACTCTGGTCCCTGTAGTACATATGCCAGACCTTTATATGGCGCTGTGTCAACCACCCTGTAACATAATAACATACAGGGTTTGAACAGGAAGTTCAGAGAACTGGAGAAGAAGCCACAGATCACGTGTATAAAGTTAGCAAACTGTAAACAAACTTGAAAAAGAAATCATGAAAAGATGGAGATGGCTAACTGTAGCACACCCAAAAACCACATTAGCTTAGTTGTTACTGTGCAGTGTTAGCAGGGTTACTGGGTTGGATGGTGACAGAGGGGCGGGGCTTACCGTATCGTCTCAATCTGCTCCGTTCAAACGGCGACGCAAACGCTGGAGTTTTCAAACCTCTCCACTCCTCTCCGCCCCAACACTCTGACTTTGTCTAAATCTCTACTATGGCTCTTAGACGTTTTATTCAAAACATCACTGTTTGAATGATTGGCTGCTGTGTGGAGATTATGAGGGTACAAAGGTTGGAAAGTGTGAGTTTATCGGACCAGAATGTTCCAGCTTTGTCTCCGTTTGGTCTACGATGACGTCTGAAGTGCTGTCGTTCATATACCGTATATTCTGCTGCTCTCAAACTCCTTTGTGTGTGTAACAAAAAAATAAAAAATAACAAGGACACAAAAATCCATTAATCATTAAAAACAATGGATTCCTAATCAGAACGGCCCCTCCCTTTAATTTCCCTAATGTAAAAATATTTGTAATTAACATTTCAGAGCGGATCCTGACGGATTGGTTCTTGATGTGGTCCGTTTGTCTGCAATTACAAAATCTGACACTGGAACCACTTTGTGAAGGCTTTGGTGCTGAGCCTCGTTCGACTGGTGTGAACGTGATGACACATCAGTCGTATTTCATTTCATGTCATTCTTGTTAATAAAAAGCATTTGAAGAAAAAGCACAAAAAAACCCAAAAACAACCAATAAATATTGTTAAAATGTGCGTTTTGAAATTCTAACCTTCGTCATTATGTCGCAGGTTTTCTCAGGACAAAAACAAAGTCTGAGTGGAGTAACATTTTGAGGTGAGGACAATTGTTAATGTGGTGGGAGGACAGAGTGATTACTGGGGTTAGTGTGGTTGTGGTTTGGGCTCAGATGGACCCTCAGGAAATGATGTCAATTCATCATATTGTCCCTCAAAGAAAATCAAAGTGTGTGTGTGTGTGTGTGTGGGTGTGTGTGTGTTGTGTGATGAGGAGATCCCCTGGGAACCAGCATCTTCATCATCACTCTCCTCTAGGGATGTAACGATGCATCAAGTGATTAACAATCAATACAAATACGTGACAATTCTCATCGGTTGAAATCAAAAACGAATCGCCCGTCAAGGTCTAAGGAGCAGCTGCGTTATCTGAAAAAGACACTGGTCATACCAGGACACTACACAAACTAGTACAGTAGGTGGCAGTATGCTCAGGTCCCTGTGTAGGCTTAGAGACATTCAGGTGTTGGAACAGAATGTGGAAAGAACTGACATCGTATCGTGAGTTGAATACATCGTAACATTCTTACTCTGCTCTCAGTGTAATTTTCCTGATATCACTGGAAAACATTAAAAAGTCGCAGTCTTTCTGGTAAAATACACCCTTCAAATATTTCATGTGCACGGAATTAAAATTGAAAAAACTGTTTGTAGTTAGATGTAAAATAAATCAAGAAGTGTCAAGACATTGATATTAAAAAAAAAAGAAACGAAAAAAAAATGGACCTTCTCAGTTCCTAATTGTGAAGAGCAGCTCTAAGCTGGTTGTTGTTCTACAGGAAGTTCAGTTCAAATGTCCAGCTGTCGCTGAGTGAAACATCTGGAGCGTGACGACTGGAGTGGAGGGTTGGCGCTCCTCTAACGGGGTCCTGTGGTTACATCTCACAGGGGGGAGAAAGGTGGAACATTTCAACTGAGTGTAATGAAATCAGACATGCAGCAGGGCTGCGAGAGGGAAGTAGGCGAAGGGGGAGGAGGGAGGGAGAGAAATGCATAAAGAAAGGTCGGATTTCATACCGTCATCGATCATTTTTACAGTTGAGGTTGCAGACTTGGGGCTTCAGCCGTGAAGAGTGGGCGAGAATAGGGCAGGAGAGTGAGCTAGGAGCCACGGGGGGAGTCGGGGGGTGACACTATTAAGATAAACTAGTCTGATGAATGAGGAGCCTTGGGCTTTGTAGTCGTCCTCATCGTCCATCTGCTGATGTCACCTGGATGTGTGTGTGTGGGTGTGTGTATTCACAGTCTATGAAGTGACCCTGCAGTAACGTCTGTGACCAGGGTGAGTAAAGGGGGTGTCAGGTGTGTTCAGAATGTAAGAATTCTACACAGAACTAAACTCTCGTTAGAGAGCGACATCGTCAACGTTCAGTGGTAAAACCTGGCGTTAGGTCGAGGGAAACGAGTGGCTCAGCAGGACCCTCGTGTCATTACCTTCACTTGATGAAACCCATTCAGCTGCATTGGTTTGAAACTGTCAGCAGGAGCCTGAGCCACGGGAGCCTCAACAGGATTATGAAGCCACAGATGATACCAGAGAGGAGGGCACCTGCCGTCCTCCACTGCTAAGAGACGCAGCTCATTTCTGCAGACTTATAGGGAGCGTGGGGTGGGGGGTGGGGGGTTAGGGCGGGGGGCGAAGGTGGACCCAGTCTTGGCAGACGACAGACACGTGTGTGTGTTCGTGTGTGTGTCAAAGGAAGAGTGAAAGTTTATCTGCAAAGCGAGCAGCCGGCCAAGTTACCACAATGAATGAGAATGAAGGAGGAAAAGCTGGACCTGTCAAAACTGTGGGGGGCATTAAATGGAGAAAATGACTCCCCACTCCTCACCCACTCCTCACCCCCTCCTCACCCCCTCCTCCTCTGGTGTGTGTGTGTGTGTGAATGAGGGATTGTGAGTTTGTGTTCAGACCTGTGTACCATGTTGTATTTGCTCCTTATTATCCTCAGCATAAATCAACGGTGGGTTCCGTTGCCATGGCGACCAGCGGTAGGCTGGGTGATGGTGGTGTTAGCAGGAGGGTGCCAGAGCTGTTTCATTAACCTTTAAAAGACTTGGTATTTATTTTAGTAGCAGGACTATGAATATAAATTTGTCATTTTGTAAAAGGAAATGACCAGGTGATAAAACGTCTCTCCTCCTCCTCCCCCTCACAGCCCCCCCCCCTTTCAGGCTGGACGTGTGTTGGTGTGATTGTTGATCTCATTACCAATCACAGCGACTGCCAAAAAATATGGTGCAGACATTCAACACAGGATGAATACTAATGAGTTTCCACACACAGTTCCACTGATTCTCCTGGATCTTAACATCCCATCATCAACTCCCAGCCATGTGTCTGTGGGTGCTCCAACCTCAGGCCCGTGGCCCCGGCTTGTGTTAGAGCAGAATGACTCAGGACAGCCAGTCAGTCTACAACTGACAGTTTGACTGACACCACCGTCGGTTGGATCGTTCAGGACTGTAGACTGATGACTGTTGTTGAGGACAACCACTGGACTGAGGTCTGGACAGAACCAGGTTCTACAGGTTCTACAGGTTCTACCAGACCTGGTCCAGATGAACAGTCAGGACTGAAAGACACCGACTCTATGAAGAGACACTTTCACTCTGACTGGTGGACATTTTTATGGACATGTTTTTGTGGATTCACGTTTGAAATTGAGAAAAGCACATTTGTGAGTGAGAAACACTGACCTCTAGCTGCTGATGTCAGTCTGTCTGGTCCAGCAGTAAACAAGGTATTTTTTCATATTAAGTGAAAGTTGATTTCTGATTTTTTTTTTTTTTTCAAATTTAATCATGATTGAGATTTATTAATCCACAGCTAGGCCTAGCACTAGGATTAATGTTGTTTTTTAAATATAAATGTTTGTCTCTGCACAGATGGATGGATTTGTGTTTCATAAATTGGTCAAAATAAAAAAAAATATTAAGTGACTTCAAACCTAGACATCACTGTGAGAAAGATAATAATATATTGTTGTGGTTTTTTTACACTTAACTAATGTAATAATAATATGGTATATATATGTAAAGCAAGTATGCCATTTAAATGCAATACATTTTATTTCAGTATTTTCTTTTTTTACTACTTAAATCTTACCTGAATGCTCCTCGCATTTCCTCTGATACCTGAACGTCTCTCATTACAGACACACCACTCAGTAGACCCCTAATATAATATATATACATATATATATATATTAATGCCAGTCGAGGCTTTTGCGATGTAGCAAACTACCCTGTCGGTGAGCGTACACCATTGTATTTACTTGGTTAAGTACAGACGACGGCTCAGCTCCAGGTGCAGTTTTGTATTCATTCATCCATCACACTGACTCGTCCGTGTTGCTGCACTGTGTGTGTGTGTGTGTGTGTGTTCTAGTGCCCCCCCCTCCCCTCACAAAAAGTGAATGACAAGTCAAGAGGCTTCACTCGGCTCATTCCGTGATAGAACAAATGCACGCAGGTGTTTTAGAGGCGAGAGACGAGGAAAAAAAACCCCCCCTATATGTCAATATGTCGAGGCCAGCAAAATGATCGACTTCAGTTTAATTTATCGCACCATCAATGGAGTTATTGATTATCATCCCAGGCCTAACTATATGATGTCAATTGTTGCATTTGACATAAATGCAACAATTGCTTAGAGTTATTTAAAAAAAAAAAGAAAAAGATTTTGTCTGAAATTCTTCAGCCTGAACATCTGCTCCGTTGTGGACGGCGGCCAGTTGGAAATCACTCTGTCCTGTGGTGCGGAGAACGGGAGGGAACCGCAGAGGAAGGCTGCAAGAAACAAACACTCTAATTAAAAACACCTGAACTCCATCAGTGGAGGGTTTAGACCTGAAGGTAACATCATAAAACAACATGAGAACCATGACATATCGTCTAAGCTGCACGACGGCCCAGTGGATATGTCAACGAAGAACATAATCAGGAGCTGACAAAACACCCGGCATTTGCATTGCTGCCTCAGGGGCAACAAGGGCAGTGGAGAAGGGTGTCTTTGTGTGCTGGGGTCATGGACATTAAGGTTGTGACTTACTCCTTTAAAAGAGCATTCTCCAGATGCCTAAGCTGTAAGTGAGGCCTCTGTAACCACTGCTAATTCAATTGTACCACATGATTTCTTGGTGAGTAATCCACGAATGAGTACTCGGTGAAAAAAAAAAACAGCTCGGCATGCAAGTCTAATGAGCCAAAGGTGGTGGGAACGATGTGCTGTGCTGAGGAGGGGGCAGTGGGGGACCAACTATACGTAAATGTAGAGTCTACTCTTATCAGCATATTTTCTAAGTCATTATCAAAGTGATTTTCAAAGTGGGAGGCGCTGGAGATAAGAAAAGATATTGGCAAGTTTTTTAGCCGTGCTGAAAACATGTTCTTTAAAATCTTTTTTATGATGTAAAAATTAGGTGAACATTGATACAAATATGTGGAACTCTAATTGAAATAAAAAACGAGGTGTAAGGAGTAGGCTGCGTTTTCTCAAAGAGTCACTGGTCATACCGTGACACTACACACTCCAGTCCAGTAGGTGGCAGTATGCTCCTAAAAACCCACTATCAAACCCAGATGTCAGGTCCTACGTAGGCTGAGAGACGTTCAGGTGTTGGAACAGAACGTGGGAAGAACTGGTTCCACAGACACCAACAGTGTTCTCCAGTGGAACTCTTTCCACTTCCTGTTGTTTCTCTTCTTCTTCTGTTGTTGTTGTTTCATATATTGACAGTTAACCAGGTCAACCAGACCAGACCAGTTTGATCAGATCAGTTAATGAGGTTCACAGACTATGTCAGTTGGTGATGGGATTTGACCCAGTTCTGACAAAGATCAGTGGATTTGGTCACAGTTTGACTGGAGATCATTTTGTCAGAAAGAAAATACATTTAAAAAGTTGACATTAAACGTTGTCTGTGGAGGAGCAAATGTTGGTCTTCGGTCAGAAGCTAATGCTGTTGGGGGAAGGGGAGTATCCTCTGATCTAAGTTGTCAACACTTTCAGGGATAAGGTTGGAGTCCGTGTTAGTTCAGAGGTTAAACATGTTCAGGTATTTTTTAATTGTTGTTGTTTTTAGATCTGTCAAACGATTGTTCTATTGTGAGTCACGCTGATGACAAACAGACAAACGTGCAAAAACACCAACTCTTCCGAGGAGACAGGAAAATCTGAGCAGATGAGGTTTGCTCACTCTAGAGGTATGAGGCCTTAATTGAGGAAAAACACACACACACACACACACACACAGAGATAGTTAAGCCACAGCTGTGGTATGTGCAGTCCTGAGGGGTGTGGGTTCTGGATTGTTTCAAACCAAGTAAAGAAAGTCATTTAGCAGCCAGAGGATGACACCTCGGTCCTTTCAGGCCAGACAAGGACTTTCATTCATGGGAAACAAAACGCAGAAAATGGAGTTGATGAGACTGAGTCTAACTCATCTTGATTGGTGTCTTGTAAGTCAATTGTGATCTTATCCAAAGACCTTAGACACAAATCTGAAGGAGAACATCTTGGCCCTGAATGAAGAGGAACCACGTTCAACAGGAGACGGATTTCAAATGTTCACCCGGAGTTGTAGAGAAGAATACAAGCGTTTGGGTGGTGCTAATTTGTACCCACTCCTTTTCACAGTGAAAGAAAAAAACAAAAACGATGACTCCAAACACAGCGTTGGAGAGGAGAGAAAGGGACAGTTTCCATAGTAACCGTTTTCAAAGTGGATGTCTCTGCTCGCACACGTTTTTCCGTTGACTCGTTCTCTCGTTTTCTCTGGGATGGAATCACCAGCACCAGAGAAAACACTGCCAAAGTCGGAAGTTCAATCTTTTTTTGTTCTTACAAATTAAAGAACGGAGAAAATTAATCAGCCAGGAAAAAAAAAATAAATTCAAAACAAAAGTACCAAAACACACACACCTGCTGACAGCAGACTTCAGGGTCAGT